ATCCTTGCAGTAACTACTTTTTAAAGTTCTAAATTGCATCTGGATGATGATAGAAAGTCCACGTTGTAATTACTAACAACCAGTTCTGTTAGAAGCCAAGCCATAATTTTTTGCAGTGTTTAAATTTCCCAAATAGCCTTGGAACTCTAAATAGAGGTATTGGAGGTAATTGCTTCACCTAAAATAATTTTTTGCCTCTCATTTCTGACCTGTACCTAGAAGGGAAAGATCCAGAGCAGATTTAGTGATTTGCTTACAGTACTCTTAGTTAGCTCTGAGTCAGCAGAGGAGCATTTGTTGGCGTTTCAAATGCCGGGAAGAAAAGGTTGATATACTGCTTTAACGATTACTGTAGAACCTGGCATAATTCTGTAACCTTTAATTACAAATGGAGCATAATCAGCAAAGTTTGATCGATGGGGAAAAACATTAGGATTTAATTTCAGCTGGATTATTTACATCATTTTCTTTGATCCAAATACTTAAGGTAATGTAGATTTTGTGAATAATATTAGAAACCTTTGCAAAGTGAAATTCTGTTCTGGTACTTTGCTAAGTGAACAGTTGGTTTTTTTCCGAGCCACTGAGAAAAAACAGCTTCCTTTATATATCTGAAGTTTTATAGTTTAAGTAGTTCCTTGCCTCACTCATGTTTGAAAGCTTTACCTTGGCATTCTTCCTGGAGAATGTTCTTGATTTTTTGGCAGTAACAATGTATGTGTGAGGGTGTGGAATTACTATCCTTTTCCATTGCTCTGCTGGGTTGTTTTTTTGCTATGTTGAGGCAGTGTTTCCCTTTGTTTGAAACACTTGTATAACAAACCATCAGCTTTATGATAGTGTACCTAGGTTAAGTACTAATTATCTACTGTCTGGAGCCATTATAACTAGCTCATATTTATTTTTGGTCTTCTAAAAATATTGTCTTTTCAAACATGAGCAAGAAAATGCTTGGTTTTAGATTTAACTGTAATTTTATCAAAGTAAAAGACCCAATCCCAAGGCACGCAATATTGCTGAACAATATTCAGTAGGAAAACTAAGTTAATTAATCATTGGATCATTTATTTTCTTCTTGTGAATATTAGTAAAGAATTTACGGTGTTATAGAAGGACTCTGAAACAGTTTTTCCGGTTTACTACATTGAAACCTATTTCAATGTATATTGAATAAACTTAAATACATTTAAAATAAGAAATGAACTTATTTTAAACTTTTCTTAAAATGAGTGGTTGTGGATTAGGGATGTCCAGTACATTGGATCCAAAGATGAAAAGGGGTTTGCTTGTGGCCCATGGTCATCAAACTGGCTTTCATGCCTAAGGTGGAACTAGAACGCATGTTTCCAGGTTTCTTGATGTGCGGGTGGGTGAACATGCCATATAGTTTAGTTTGCATTAGTAAGCTCTGCCTTTTCCTAGATTGCATGGTAGTTGTATGATCTCAGGAAATACTCACTTGAATTCAGGAAATACCAACAAAGATTGATTCTAAAGCACCTTGTCTGATCTAGTGTACTCCTTTTCCTTGGAACTCTAGCCTTCCATGAGAAACTAGAAAAAATATATTTGCTTTAAGGAGGTATTCCCAGGATTGTTATATGTGTCTATATCTCCCTGAAGCACTTTAGCTCTAAAGTACAGAGATGTAAGGAAGATGTAAGAGTATATCTTATGATATTTTGAAATAAGTATTTATTCCTTACATTTCTGTCCTGCTTTTTCACCAGTAGCTGAAGGCTGTGTAGATAGCATTTCCTTCACTAATTTTTTAGGTCAGAAATATGTTGAAATACAGAAGTGTAAAGAGCTGGTATATTTATTTAATTTATATGCTACCCATCTCACCAATAAGGTGATCCTAGGCGACTTACATGATTATTCCTATGTTAGCTATGGTAAAGAAATGATTTAGGAAATTGTGGCTTTTCTTTTCATTACTATCTGATATAAGGATAGGACAAGTTAGTTTGTGCAATTTTACAGTTTCCTCTGCTACATCAGAAGAAAACAAAACCTCTATAGTATATTGGCTAATTAAGTTTATTCATATCCCAACCACTCCTTCAAGGTGTCCATTTATTTATTTAGAAAATTAATTTGGTTGTTTATCTTAAGTAACTCTGGATAACTGTCATACAGTACTTTTTAAAATGTACTTTAATTAAAAATCAGTATAAGAAAATACAGGACACAGTTAACAATAACAAAATGCTACAACTAAGGTTTCCATAAAGAACTTACAATACCAAACACATATACCAGGCTGCACTGTTTTGCTAGTCCTAATGCTTGAAGGAAGAGCCATGGCTTTCCTGAAGGTGAACTTATATGATACGGTAATAGAAAATATGTTAAATTTCATTTTCATTTTAGATATGTTTTAAATAAATTTTGATTATATTTAGATTGGATTACACTAACCACATGTTATGTCACCATATTTGGCTCACATTTAATATGCAACATGTTTCCTTACTTCAAGCTAGATTTGATTAGAACATCTTTGCCTTTAACGTTTTCATAAACTTGTATAAATTGTATGTTTTGTGTTGAGCTGTTTACCTCTTTGAAGATAAACTATTTTTACACTTAAAATTGATAAGCCCAATGTTAGCTGAATGTGTTATTTATAGTCGGAAACCATATTGCTTATTGGGCTTTGAAAGGACCAATTCAGATGGGTCAGCTTTTCTTTATGAAGAATAAAAATGATCTCATTTTGATAGTATGTTGATTTTTTATTTAAAATGTTTTATTTTTTTTAAAAAAAATCTATAAAATATACCTTATAAAAATCCCACTGCAGATAAATACCACTGGTTTTCTAACTTTGTGTTAGTATGTGGGGAGACTTGGCCAGAGAAACCAACAGAAGGAAAACAGCTGTGGGGAGCAAGAGAATTTCTACAAGTCATGATTCAAACAAATGGGGTAGAACAAGTGGGGGTGGGGGTGGGGGTGTTCTCATCTTGAATTATTCTCCTCAAAACAAGCAAGCTCCCCTATCCCAAATTGATTTGTGTACTTATTCCCTCATTCTGTGTTTAGTACGGTATCATGCAAATTTGAAGCTACAGTAATAAATGGTTACTAGTCTTTCTGTAAAATTTAAAATTTCGACTGGAGTCTGGAAACAAAAAACATTACCTGGATTCCTGGATTCTCCTCCTCTGGAGTGCTAACTTTAGTTGGAATTTCCTAATGGAGATGCACTGGAGGCTGAAAGCTTTGTTGTCCTTACAACAGAGTTGTAACTGGTACAAGGAGACACAGTTACAGCTGACTCAGAGAAGCACTGTGCTTAGTTTAAGATTATCATAGATTATGGCATAATTTAATAATAAGAGGGGAATTATGTAGTTATGGCATTGGCATAATAAGGCTGAGTATAGTCTTAAATCTGAAAAATGCCACCTTCCCCAGAAAAAAACCCTGGGATATTGCTTAGTGTGGACTTAAGACATTGATTTGTGGCATGCCTGGCCTTCGTGAGGCAGCTCCTGATTGTGCAAGGCCTTCTTCCTGAGTCCATACCTGCCTCCTGTCAAAATTTCATCCTTGTGGAAGGCAGGCACATGAAAGAAGATTCTATCTGCACCCTTCTAGCGGGTCCTACTTACATATCCATACAGATGGGGCCTTCTTTTGCACGTCTTGCCTTTTTCCAAGTAAGAAGTTCACCAGACAAAAGAAGGATTCTCCTTCTCCTTTTTAAAAGAAGGACCTGGGTAGTACACAGAAGGACCTTTAAAAGAAGGACCTGGGTAGTACACAGAGACCTTGGCCAGGGTATGAATGGAGGCCCTATCTGGGATGCAAGAGAAATCTCGGCACCAACAGAAAGAAAGTGTGAAGAGGTCCAGCTGATAGTTGTGCACCAGGTAGCAGTGGGTAGGGCTGGGTGATTCTGGTACCTGATGTCAGTATGTAAGTGAGCAGCCAAGAAGCTATTATAAAGGTGGGTGGGCCAAGAGGACCTGAATTTCATTCATATGACTGCAGGAGGGTTGCAACTGCTGAAACTTTGAGGATTGGTCATAAATTCCTTGTTTCCAATGTCACAAGTTTGAACAGTTGCTGAAGAAATGGGCATTAAGCAAGGACAATCTGTACCTATTATAATAATTTATATTTTGTGTAAATTTAATAAAATGACAATCTTAACTCTCTGATATTGGGAACACAAGGCGAATGTTGTATCAAGTTGAAATTGATGAACAGTCACTTGAACTGTAAAAGGTTGTGCTTTTCTTCTTAAAGAATTGTTACCACTTTGTATTTTTTTAAAATGTCTCACCAGCCTTAATAACAAAGGAGCAGCTTTTCAGGTTGAAACTTAAATGTTTTTTACTGTACGTACTTTAAAATCTGTATTAACTGACTTTGATTATATTGATTTGCAGATTGATGAGGGATAAGGGGCCTTTTTTTTAAATTAAAAGGCCTCCTTTCCAGATATGTTAAAAGCAAGGGTATAGGGGAGGCAAGAAATGTTAGTTTACTTAATTAGATTTCAGCAAGGTAGGCTTTTAGTTGATATATATATATATATATCCTGGAATTAATCTCTTGCTCCCGATGTAAATATTCTGTAGTATTTATTTATTTATTTATTTATTTATTTATTTATTTTGAGAGCTTTTATGATGCTTCAGTCATTAGTCATTGCATTTCTGATTTTAAAAACATCTAGCTATCTCTTTCTTTAGTTCTGCTTGCTTAGCTGGAAAATGTAAGACCGTTTCTTTTGTTTTTACATGGAATATTTCTGTTACTGTAATTGCTGTTTTGTGGAATTATCAATTTTCTATTTATAATAGTGGACAGTTAAAATGTATATTGTCAAGCTGAATTATCTATCATGTCGTTGGGATGTATGATTCAATAGTAATAAATATCTAGTCTGTTCAGTATTTTTTTTAATTAAAATGGGATAAGAATAAACATTCTAATGCACTGAGGAATCTGGTGACAAAGTTTTTGCTGTTTAATTTCAGAGTATCATCTAGCCATTAATTATGTCTGACAACGGAGAACTCGAAGACAAGCCACCAGCTCCACCTGTTCGGATGAGCAGTACCATCTTCAGTTCAGGAGGAAAAGATCCTTTATCTGCTAATCATAGCTTGAAACCTCTGCCTTCAGTACCAGAAGAGAGAAAGCCTAGGAACAAAATCATCTCCATTTTCTCTGGCACTGAAAAAGGTAAAATGTTGCAATTGTTTGATTGTATAATATTCCATTTGAATTTCATTGCACCACTTTGCACTTGATACAAATACAACAAATTACTGCAGTGCATTCTGGATCTTTTGAAAATTACTTATGATACAAATATTCATGGAAGTGAATGTATGTGTTCATAATATACAGTTTTAAGTATTTAACAGGAAAACAGTTTTATGACTTTTAAAATAGATTTAAATCAGCATGGCAGATAAACTTGAGAGTGAGAATTCATTTGCTAGCTAATGTGAGGCGTGGTAGCTCAGTGGCTTAATGGCGATGGAGACAGTCTGTACTCCAGCAGTTTGAGTCCTAGCACTGCATGACAGAGCGAACTTCCCTTATTTGTCTTGCCTTCTGCCAACCTAGCAGTTCAAAAGCATGCAAGTAAACAAACTTCAGTAGGAAAAAATGATGCTTTGTGTGGCAGTATGAATAAAACCGATGCCTGACCTGCCCATATGTGAGGTGATACTGGTGGTGAGAAAGGCCCTGGATGACCCTGCAGAACGCTGTCAAGTCTTATGAGTGTGGAGCTAGTGCTGCACTCTGGATAGCGTGCGAGTGTGAACAAAAGGGACCAGCAATCAGCAGCAGCACGCTGTAGTCTCCTGGCTAATGTAACAATCCCATACGCTAAATAAATAATGCTAACTAACGCCTCCTCAAGATGAAGGAAAGAATTTCCCTTTCCAAATAATAAAAAGTAAATAAGGGGAAGTTGCCATTAAAAGGTAGTCCTTGAGTTATGAGACTAGTGACATTTGCCCATTACAGTTGCAAGTTGTGATGGTCATTAAGCAAGGCACCCACATGATCACCTCACTTAATGACTCTCACCTCTGGTTTCCTGATGTAGTTGTTAAGTGCACATGAGGTTCCTTGTGTAGGGAGGTCCTGGATACCTAGTGTAGGCCTGAGGCTCCTGTGAATGGCTGGATGGGAAACAACTCTAAGCCTGCAAGTTGCAATAGATTTGGGTGCACTGCAGCTGGCCTGAACAGCTGGAGGGGAAGCAGGCACAAGGCCTATGTGAATCTGACAGGGCGGAATTGGTCGGAGAAATAGGTTGGGGGGCTGCTGCAGTTTCCCTGTAATCTATCATAAGGGTGAATAACTGCAAGGGGACATAACTTTAAAACCAGGTGTAAGTAACCTTTTGAGGAGAGGGTGTCTGTCATAAGTTTGAACTGATAATAAGTTGAAGATTACCTATAATATGATATTAGTGAAATAGTTGATGTTTATTTTTTTCCAAGTGAAAATCTGAAGGGAAAATTGGATAAATACTAGAAAAATAATTTTTTCTGTTATACAGAAGTGAGCAATTCTGTGCATCTATTTTAGCAGCCTAACAATATCAATGGCTACCTAGTTCCTGTTTTTGTTTTTTAGATTTTCTTAGAGTGGCAATGATCAAGGAATTTGTAGTTTAGAAGTACATAAATATATCTTCAGTTGTCTCCTGGTACAGGACTGTGGAAGCATGGCTTTTTGGTCACTGGCCCCAACCTCTAGAATAGTTCAGCTTCTTCAGTTGTTCTTTCTAGGCTAGTTTCTAGTCCCTAATCATTATTCTTGCCCATCTCTTAATCCTTCAAGGGTTAAGCCTAACTAGACGCAATACTTATAGAATATGATCAATGCAAAATAAAGTGGAACTATAATTCCATGATTTGGAAACACTGTTGATGGAGCGTAAAATGTTTTATGTATTCATGTAGGTAGGAAATGTATATGACTGCCGATTTAATATAGAAAGTCTAGATGTTAATAACAATCTACAAAAATAAATATAATGAAATCTTTCGTCAACAAAACAATAGAAATGTGTAGAGAATGAAGATAATAAATTGGCTAATTGGTAAACATCAGTACATCATTTGAAATAGATAGAATTTCTTTCAGCAGTGTTAAATCAGATGAGCTTCATGGCAAATTTGTTAAAAGCCTCATGTTCTCCCAAGGTTTTCTAATCTTTTGCAAACAGGAATCCTTGAAGCCCTCATATAAATTGCTTCATTAGCCAATAAGGATTCCCAAGTCATGTGACTGAGAGGGGTTGAAGTTGCCTTGGTAAGGCACTTTATTGATACCGATTGAATTCTTAATGTACATGATTGTTCTGTGAGTATATTCTTGTCTGTGGATTTTTCCCTAGTCTGAGTTTAACTGTCTCTCAGGAATGGCTATTTGGAATATTGGAGGTCTTATGTATGATATTGGTAATATCTGTCTAAGAGCAGTAAGGGCCAGAAGACTACTCACATGGCATATTGTTTTCTGTTCCATTTTCCTCCATGTCACTGCCCTGGTCATCAAGAGTTTATGGAGCTACACCCACGGAAACACCCCCCTCCCAATTCTTGACCATTTTTGAGATTTAACAGACATTTCAATATCTTTAATTATTGGGCATAACCACGTCTTTTGTAGCCAGTGAGCATTATTGCTTTAATAGCAACTTCTTTCATCACTCAGTTTGTAAACAGCTTTCAGTAAATGCTTGCAAAAGTTTTATAAAGAGAGAGCTGTTGCTTTCCATGTTTGCTAAACCTGGAGCTATCTATCTATGTCTTTACATGACCAAATCTCTCCATTGCCACCTGTCTCTCTCCCCCCCCCCGCCCCCCTCAAATTTCACTCAACAAACTAATAGCTTCTGTCAGGATTTCAGGTGACATTGGTTGCTTTTTTTTATGCAAGCTTTGTTTTTTGCATTTCTTAATAAAATATAGAAAAAATTAAGGCCCTACAAGCACAATTCATTTATATTTTTGAAGCAAAATGTTTTGATTCATAGATATTAGAATTAAAAGTGAGTTCATTTATGACAATTTTCTGTATATAATGTTTTAACTGTTACCGGCAGGTTTATTAAAAATTCAAAACAGTTGAACTTCAGAAAGGGTGACTCCATTCTGAAACTAAATATGCTTTCTTTTCCCGATAGGGAGTAGGAAAAAGGAAAAAGAGAGACCTGAGATTTCTCCTCCATCAGATTTTGAACATACTATTCATGTTGGCTTTGATGCGGTTACTGGGGAATTCACTGTAAGTATATTAAACTTGTCTCTATGCAATGTGCCCTGGGAAGTATGAAATTAATGCTTAAAACTTCTTACCCCCCCTTTTTTTTTACAAGAGTATATCTCAGAACTAAAATACTGTATATCTCAGAACTAAAACATTTCAGTAAATATTTCTTCCCCTTCCCTAAAGATTAGTCATGTATTTGGTACCTTTATGCAAGTAAACTATTCCAAGGAGATTTATCATTTGAGATGATATATGATATGATATAATAATTTCTGTATTTCAGTGTTAAAATACATGAATTTGTATTTCCCTCCCCCAGGGAATGCCAGAGCAGTGGGCTAGGCTGCTACAGACGTCTAACATCACAAAATTAGAACAGAAAAAAAATCCCCAGGCTGTATTAGATGTTTTGAAATTCTATGATTCTAAAGACACAGCAAAACAGAAATATTTGAGTTTTTCTGCTACAGGTATGTCTTTGGGCTAACTCACAGGGCACCTTAAACTCATTATTAAAGAACATTATAAATGAGCAAATCTAAGAACATTATAAATGAGCAAATCTATGTGTAACAGAGCTTTCTAACATTTTGGAAATAATTAGGGAGTGAGTGTTTCAGAAAATGAACGTAGCATATGTCTGCAATTTTTTAATTTAGCTGTATCTTTTGCCAGAACTGTGCAGCTGGTTTGGAGAGATGATTTTAGCAATTGGCATATGAATTATTACCCATTTAAAGAATTGGAAGGGCATTTGAGAAAGAAGAGACCAATTGCTGATGTGAGTTTGTTTTTATTTAAAGTAGGGATCTCTGCCCATCTAAAGACTAAAGTTACTAGCTCCATGCATGATTTAAGGGTGATTTTAATTCTATGATTTGTCATAGAATCTTAGCATTGTAATGGACCTTAGACATCATTTAGACCAGAGTCCTGATCAGTGTACATTCCACTAGATAGTTCACTGACTATCCAGGCTTTGAATATCTCTAGTGAAGGAGAACGCATTACTTGATGCTGCAACTTGTATGGTCAAGAAATGTCTGTAAAGATCTAATTTGAATCTTCTTTCTTGGAGTTTTAATCTATTAATTCTGGTCTGATTCTGATTCTAGGGCAACGGAGAATAGCTTACTTCCTTTTTTGTGTAATAGCTCCTCAGTTATTTGAAGACTGATATCATACCTCTGTTCAGACCTTTATTCTGTAGGCTAAACATACTCAGTTCTAACATTTAGAAACAGCACATGCTTTGCAGATCAACTTTGTCCTTTCAATTAATGAAGGTAGGGCAGCCCAAAATGCACTTCATTAAATATAAACTTGATTTGAAGTACAGCTAAGATTTACTTTTTAATTGTGCATAAAATATGAAATACTTTTAATTTACCTGGAGACTAAAGGCGATAGTATCATGAAATGGAAACAATATGAATTTGTGTTTGATTTCTTCAGGCAACAGTTTGCTAGATACATTGTTCTAAAAGTGTAGGAGAGAGAATCATTCCTCATCTTTCAGATGTTTTGCTTCTTTAAAAATAGTTGGATCAAGTAGGGCTTTTTTTTTTTACTGCAAGCACATTGTACTGGAATAGAACTAAAAGCTAGACTTGGCTCCTTATTTCAATTAGTTCAGAACTCTCTTTGGAACAAGGTGTGTATCATCTCACTACATTTTATGAGTGTTATCATTTCTGCATTAATACTTTAATTTTTTGTTCACATTAATTTTTTTTCTAGATAAGGATGGCTTTCTTTCGGGAGCAATAGCAGTAAGTACATTTCCATTATGTTTCCTTTTATGTAGTTGAAAGCCTGTTGTACAGTAATTTTAATGGGCTTCAGATATTTTGTGTTTCAACCTACTTACTTATCAGAGATAATTTCATTCATTTTAGAGGTTCAATTCATCAGTAGTGTTTTCAAGATCATTTGATGAGAAACTATTTTTATATGTTAAAATTTCACAAATTAATTCAACTAAAGCAAAAGAAAAGTGGGATCTCTTCTATAAATTAATCTTTTGTAGAGGGTATGGACAGTGTTTTGCCTTGTTGTCTCGTACAAAAGCTCAGTGAAAAGGGAGAGAGATAACTTGGGGAAAGGGAAGGTTAGATGGTTTCTTGATAGGTGGCAATATCAGCTTTTAGATTCTGCAAAAATAAAAGCCCAGCATGATGATTTAAATCCACATACCCTAATTTCCTGTTTCAGATTTCAGTTGCCACTGATGTTTCGGAGTTCAAATTCTGTGGCATCTTACATATGCCCCTTTGTTCACAAGTCCTTATTGGATAAATTATGCATATTGGTTTTTGACATATAGATTGCATAGCTTGGATATATGTATCTTGAGTTCTGTGTTCTCTCCACCCAGGCATGAAGTGCAACAATAATATTGTGCCCACATTTCATATGGGAATAATAAATGATATATTGCACTCTAATATAAAGGTAGTCCTTGACTTACAACTATTCATTTATAAACTGTTCAGAGTTATAGCAGCACAGAAAAATCTGACTTATGACCAGTCCTTACACTTATGACCATGACATAATCATGGGTCATGTGATCAGAATTCAGGCACTTGGCAAACTGTACATATTTATGACAGTTGCACAGTTCTGAGACCAAGTGATCACCATTTATGACCTTCCCAGCCAGCTTCTGAGAAAGTTAATGGGGGAACTGGGATTCACTTAATGAGCTCATGATTCGTTTAACAACTGCTGTGATTCGCTTAACAATGGTGGCAAAAAAGCCATAAATTTGGACACGATTCATTAACAGCCACTTTGCTTAGCAACCAAAATTGTGGATATAAGTTGAGGACTACATGCAGTATTTTCAACTACATATACTTTTTATAATGAACAAATATTTAAATAGGCCTCATAAATAAATAAATCGCTTATAGTTCTGTTCACTTATTTTTCACATTTGTTTTTTTTAAATCTCTAATTTATAGCCTAATGCAAAAAGGTCAGAGCCTTCAACAGCAACGGAAGAGGAAGAGGAAGTTATTCCTCCAGTTATTGCTCCAAGACCAGATCATACAAAATCGGTGAGAAGTTTTATTTCATTTTCATTACTTAATGCATAGCAGAGCTTTTTGCAGTTTTTCTACAATCTGAGGAAGTTTTGTTCAAATCTCTCTCCAACCAAATGATCTTGGTTACTTAAATCTGTTGCTTTTAGCCAGACTCCTTTTGTAATGTTATTGTTCACTGTGATTTACAGTAGATAAAACTGTTCAGTACTTTCAGAGAAAGGTTCATAATTAGTATTGATTAATGAGGCCTACTTCTTGCATGTAGTTGCCATCTTAATAGGTCTGTTTCTGTTTTAAAACTAGTATTTTAAACTTCCAAAAAGTTCTTATCTCTCTTTGTCTCTTAGCAACTTAATTTTCTTCTGTATTGGTCAGCACTCCCCATCTGACTTAGTTATCAGAAAAGTGATTTGATTTTACTTCGTTAGTGTATTTGGCTGCTAAGGGCAAAACATAACTTGAATAATTGCCTCCATATTTATAGAGGATGATAGTTTATAGATCAAAATATGCAAAAGACAGGAACTCCTCAACTTATAACAGTTTCTTTAATGACAGTCCAAACTTACAGTGGCTTTAAGAAAAGTGATTGTTGATCCATCCTTGAAGTTATGACCATTGTATCACCCTCGTGGTAACATGGTTGTAATTCAGGCATTTGACAATTGTCTCACATTTACAATGGTTGCAGTGTCTTGTAGTCATGTGATTGTGATTTGTGATCTATCCAGCCAGTTCTCGAAAGACAAAGTCAATTAGGGAAGCTGAATTTGCTTAACAACTACGAGATTTACTTAATCAGACATGATATTCTTCCGATTAAAATCGGAATTCCGATTTTTTTGGGAATCGCCCCCCCTTTCCCCCCTTCTTCTCCTCCTTCCCCTCCCCTCGGAGGCCCCGAGTCAGGAGTTGCTACCGCTGGCGCGGCTCTGCGTGGCTCCAGTCCCGCGTTGCCTCAGGAAGGGAAAGGCAAAAAGGAAGAGCCGCGGCGGCGCTTTGCAACAGCAGCAGCAGCTCCTGGTTTTGCCTTTCCCTTCCCGAGGCAACGCGGGACTGGAGCCGCGCGGAGCCGCACCAGCGGTAGCAACTCCTGACAGCCCCAGCCGGATACCTGAGCGGAGCCCGGGCGGTGCGAGCGGAGCCTGGGCGGGCGGAGCGCGGGCGGGCGGGCGGTGTGAGCGGAGTCCGGGCGGGCGGGCGGTGCGAGCGGAGGCCGCTGAGTGGCAGGAAAAGGGAGCTGGGCAGCGATTTCTTGGCGCGCGGTGGCGGGGTCTCTTTTGGCCGGCCCCGATTTTTTTTTCAGAGGGGAATATCATGCCTGTTAATGACAGATGTAAAAATGATTGTAAAATCAGGTCTAGTCATGTGATGACTCATTTAACGACCTCTTTGCTGAGCAACCAAAATTTCAGTCCCAATTGTGATTGTAAGTCGAGGACTACCTGTAGTAGTGTTACAGTGCACCAGATAATGCAGAGCAATCTTTCTTTATTCTCATAAAAGGCAAAGTCATATTAGAATCAAGCTGAACTCGTGGTCACTGTGTGGAGAAATCCATGCAGCTTTCTTGCCAACAGTGTAGAAATGATTTGGTCTTCTGGGATGCTTGTCAACTTCCTAGTTTAATGGTTGCCCTAGTTTTATCTTTCATATAGAATCATGGAACACATTCAGAGACTAAAATCTGTCTGGATTAATTACATGACACTTTCTTGGGGGGGGGGGAAATGAAGGCTCCAATTTTTATAATAATTATAGATCAAACTTTAGTGTTAATCAGCAAATTCAAATAGTTACAAAGCTATACAATGATGGCTATATGGTAGTTGAACTTGAAAAAAAATTAGATGTTAAAATACTATGGGATTACAACCATGATCTTGTTTGTTAAGGTTTATACACGGTCAGTAATAGAGCCTATCCCAGCACCATCTGGCGATGCAAGTGAGAGTGCTAAATTTGCTGATAAACAGAAAAAGAAAAACAAGATGTCAGATGAAGAAATCACAGAAAGATTACGTAAGTAGGAATTTGATCGTCATACAAATAAGACACTGATAATCTCAAAACAATATATATTGCATAATTTTTATGAGTTGATTGATTCCTAGTAACTACATGAATACATCCATGTAATTTTCTGGGCAATTTTCTTGGCACTGCTTCCTTCTGGGATGTTACTTTAGATACCCCAGTTTAAGTACCCCAGATGGTACTTAGTTTTTTGAGACCAAACAACAGAGTTTGGGTGCTGCCAACTAATGAGTTAACCTTTTGTATATGTTTGATTTTGACTTTTTGCAAAAATACAGAGTGGATTTTCTTGTGCAGCCACACACTGGGAATGTTGTGTGAATTGGTGTTAAATAATAAATGGAAGAACAGCTTTAAAATTCAGAATCTGAAGTCCTAACAAGGCCTCATTTGCAGATCATTTGGATGGAAAGAAAGTTGCCTTAGCAAATAGTATTAATTATATTATGTTGTATCTGATGAATATTGAAAGGTCCTGAAGAAAGTAATCCTCACCTGTTCGAAAATCAAACAGTGACAACAATAAACTTCATTTGTAAGAATAATTATTTCCTTAGCATATACATTTCCCTTCATTGTCAATTGTATTGTAGATAAAACTTGTTTTCTGAATGTTGCATATCGTCTTAAAAATATATTTGTAAAATAACGAAGTCCAGTCAATGCTTGGTTTGGGGGCTGCACTGGACTCAAAAAAGCTTGCTAAACAATGTAAAGTAGGGAGTGCTTATGCACCTAGGTCTTTGCTTTTGCATATTGAAATAATAGAGAAAAAGAGCCTTTTTCCATAATCCATTTCCTGACACTCTGATTTCAGAACTTCATTGTTAGAAATGGCATGTTGATAATCAGAGTTACTCGGTACTGGGGAATTTTATTTTCCTTCATTTCCCAGTGACTACCCCTCCTTTCAAGATAATTTTTCTGAGTGAAATTGGGAAAATTGTGATCTATTTCCTGGGATACAGTTGTTCATTAAAAGAGATAAGGAATGGCTTTCTAATGCTTTGCTGAAAAATTGTGAGACTGCAGGTGACCTGTTGGTCGTCTGCATACATTATAAGGGATGAATTCAATAACCACTGTATTGAAGAAAGCAGAATTAGTGCTAATAAATAAAGGAGGTTGTCCTGCCTTTGAACTACCTTTGTGTTCTGGAGATAAAGAGATATATTGGTACAATTTAAAAATAGTGCTTTATGTGAAACAGGAATGTTTTCATTAAACATAGAAATTTTGAATCCAAACCATTACAAGAGAAAATATTGACTTCTAATTTAATCACAAGTCAATATTGTTTGTGTCACTGCTTTGGATCTGATACTATTTTTAGTTTACTTATACTGTTATAATTTCCTTTTAGGAACAATTGTTAGTATAGGAGATCCCAAGAAAAAATATACCAGATATGAAAAAATAGGACAGGGGTAAGTATTCATAAATACGCTATGCATAATTAATTAAATTATGTTATCTTAGCATACATATGTGTTGGTATGAGTGAAAATCAGCATATAAATCAAACCAGATATCCAACAAAATATAAACCATAAAACAATTATTAATGTGCTGTACTATATACAATTTACGTAATGAAAAAGGAAATTGTGAACAAGAATTCCAAGCAGCTTATCATTTCTTTCCTGTTTAACTTCAGAATGAGCTTTTTCTCCCTCCTGTGGAAAAGAATAGAGAGTTTATTCTAAGTCCAAATATGCAGGCTATAAATTTTGTCCAGGTGATTTTATTCTTTCTTTCCGTAAAATGAAAGCTTTAGTTTTTTCTATGTTATTTGGTGTAAGTATTGATCTTATTGTAAATTAGTTTATGATTTAATCCCACCTCATTTGTCTTTAAATACAATGATATCTTCCAGGAAATACAAAGCTTTGCCTGTTCATGCACATGCATGTTAAATACCTGAAATATTACAACTAATTGCATATTTGGTTTTCTTAGGGCTTCTGGTACCGTTTTCATTGCAATAGATGTTGCGACAGGACAGGAGGTAAGAACAGATTCAAAGCTGATATTCATTTGGATATGCTGTGGAACTCGGTGAAAATTTATAAAATACAATGAAACTTGATGAAATGGGATTTACTGCTAAATTTCTGGCTTTTTTAGAATAGCTAAGGGAGGTTTTCCAGTTCTGTTTCAGCAATAGTAATTAGAAGTAAATTATATCGCATAAAGTTATTGATTCTTAATAATTATGAGAGCAATTTAGATCAGTTCATAGCTCATGAGAAAAAGTTGGTAACTACTGTAGGTCTAGAATCTCAGGGTTCTATTAAAATTATTTTCTATTCTGACATTGTAATCTCATTGTAGTTTGACTTGTTTATCTAGAATCAGGGCTATAATCATTGACTTCAAAATGAGAAGTTTATACCTCTTTCTATTACTAATTATTTATTTTGGTTGTATTTATATGCCTATAAGGGGTATAATTTTAAGTTTATTCAGTCTATCCTCACGATGGAACCAAATGGTTAATTGTATTTAACTTAGTCTAGATTTTCCCCATTAATTTAACTTAAACATGCAGAAACCACAGATTGTATACAAATTGCCTCTATTTGAATATCAGCTTCTGATTTCTTTCTTTACTTTTCAGGTTGCTATAAAACAAATAAATCTACAGAAACAACCCAAAAAGGAGTTGATTATCAATGAAATTTTGGTAATGAAAGAGTTGAAGAACCCAAACATAGTCAATTTTCTAGACAGGTAACTAAGTACAACATGTAGCTAATGGAAAGTTAAGTTTAAGCCAGGATCAAAATTTAAAGCTTTGGCCATGTCTTATTTTGTCTGTTTTTGGATTCTTGAAATACCAATATGTTATATGTCTTAAATTATAAGCATACATAAAAATTAATATATAACTTCCTAATTCCAAATAAGAAACATTTTACTTGAGTCGTTAGTACTATTTTGCAATTATACTTGTATTTTAAAACAAGTCACCATAGTAAACGACAACAATTTTTGATAATGAAGATTTTTATGCAGTAATCATTACTTACTTTCTACAAAAGACTATTATTGCTACCATTAATACAATATAATTATTTGTGTCCTATCTTCTAGGATCACAATTTTTTCTAAAGTTGGTTACAAAGAATATAACCCATTGCAAAAAATAATATAATGTTTTAAATTATAATCTTCCTGGGCTGTGGGTGGTAATGATTAGTGGACAGAGAAGAATCCAGATTTTGTGGTGATTCTTACTTGCCTTCATTTCTGTTATTTTATTTAATAATTTTTATATGTAAGAATTACTTAATAAAATTGTGGGTATATTTGCAAGAGGATTAACACAGATATGTGACTGATAATCAGGCAGCAACTGAATGATCTGGGCACTTAACTGCCTTGACAAAAGGTACTATGAGGATTGAAGTTTCCAAGATGTAGTAAAAGTATCTGAGACCAGACAAGATCATCTTCAAAAGGTGATGTGGTACCTTCCACGTTTATGACTAGAAAATATTAAGAAATCTGTTACGATGTGAGAGAAAGATCCAAGATACATTGTGACTGATTGACTGACTGACTAATTAACTGACAAATAGATAGATAATAGTGTAATATGTATACTTGTTTCTCTCACACTGGATGTCAGAAGCTAACAGTAGAAAAGTCATTCTTGAAAGTAGATACAAAAATAGTCCATATGCTGCTAGATTGTGTCTTTGTGATACAACTACCATTGTATTTATTGCCATATTTTATTATAGTAAGAGTTTTACACAAATATTAAAATTTCCCCTTATCTGAAACCTTCTGTATACAAAAACTCTTTTTTGGATTAAAGGGACTTCTAGCTCCCTAGATTGCCAACCTCTTTTATGGTGTCAACAAGATAAGATCCAAGATGATTGACTGCCACATTCTTCAATATAGTGCAATCTGGCTAATCCTTGAATAACACTAAATTACACAGACATGTCTGTCTTATAATTTTAGTTTTAAACAAATTCCATTCTGTTTCTTAGCTCTAGACCAGGGGTGTCAAACTTGATTTCATTGAGGGTTGCATCAGAATTGTGTTTGACCTTGGGGGGCCAGGGTGGGGTGGCCAGCTCAACCTCATTCATGTCGGGGGTACCTGTGGTGGCTTGAGCACTGAGCCAGAGAAAATGGGCTCCTGAGCTCCGTTTTGGCTGTGCTGGCCTCCTGCAACCCTCTCAAGGTCCTCCCAAGCTCTGTTTTCGCTGGCAGAGGCACTGCGGGCCGGTTGTCTGCTGTTTCCACGGCAGCCCCGCCAGCCAGATCTAAGCACCCATGGGCTGGATCCAGACTGTATGCCTTTAGTTTGACACCCCTGCTCTTCAGGCATATTTTATACTGATAATAGTGGTAATAATCTGCTCCAATCCTTTAGCTTTTATATCTAACTTTCCCCCGTTGGTTTCAGTTTGTTGATTGTTTTGTTCTATACTGATCTTTGACTGAAATGTATTTATTTATTTAATTTGTGTAATTTGTATTCTGCCTTTATTATTTTTACAAATAAGTCAAGGCGGCAAATGTATCCAACAAACCATCCTCCTATTTCCCCCACAAAACAACCGAATGAGATGAATTGGGCTGAGAGAGAGTGACTGGCTCCAAGTCAAACAGCTGGAGTGAAATGCCTAAGATAAAACTTAAACTCACAGTCTCCTTTCTAGTCTGGTGCCTTAACCATTAGATCAATCTGGGTTTCTCAAAATGAACTTTGAACTGTACAGTAGAACAGTCAAGGTCATTTCTTGCATAGATAACTTGCTTTTAGTGTAGGCAAAGAAGCCTTAATTTAAAAAAAAAATCAAGCTACTTGAAGATGATAGTTAGATTCTAGCTGTGGACATTTTCAGGCTCTTGCTCCTTGTGTCAGTGTTGCACTGCAAGATCTACCCTTTTCATACATGGATATGTTGTTATGATACACAAACAGAAAGGGTGGAACTTGCATTTTGAGGGTGTAATCATGTTTTTGTCATTCTCTTTACCACCCTTTACCATTCTCTTTACCATTCTCAAGGATGCTGTTGATTCCAGTAATCCAGGCCATTCTGTGTATCAGATCCAGGGTTTATATCTTGCATCCTTTTCTCCACCTTTGTGTGATAATTGACTTTTTGTTGCTTTTCCCCCAACCCAGGATAGATAAATGCCCTGTCTAGTCTAGTGCAGATTCAGCTCTGAAAGTTGTGGGAAGAGATGGGCAAAGGAAGAGAATACTGCTACCTAGTTACAAAAAAGCATTCCAATACCTAATCTCCTCTCTTTTGTTTTATTGCTGTTTTAAATGTCTACAATCTTGCAGCTTGCGACATATGATGAAAAGCACCCATAATACAAAAATAACAATAAAAATCATAGCAGATAGTTAACTTACCTTAAAATGGGAGCATATAAGCAATTATGCGTTGCCCCAGAAAAGCTTCAACTTATAAAGACCAATAGTATCAGAGCTAGCCTAATTTCTGGTTGAAACTAGTTCACAAGCACTGGGGCATAATAAAAAGTATGTATGGCTCCTAGCCTTGGCCCTTAGTTTCCCAGTAGTGGTTGGGTGTTTTCCAAGTTGCTTATGTTGGACAAAATCATTGTGGTTGAAGGAGGTAGTCCTCCGATCTCTTTATACCAAACCTAAAGGGCTTCTATAGGTTAAAACTAGTATTTGAAACTGTATTCAGAAGCCAATAGGTAACTAATGCAGGACTTGCACAATATATAGCTCCAGTACTAATGAATTTATATTGTATATTTACTTTAGCTTCTTTTCTCAATCTAACTTCAAGCAATTGTTTCACTGGGTTGAAATTTAATGTTGATTTTCTGTCTTCAGTTACCTGGTTGGAGATGAACTTTTTGTTGTAATGGAGTATCTGGCTGGTGGATCCCTTACCGATGTAGTTACAGAGACTTGTATGGATGAGGCGCAGATTGCTGCTGTCTGTAGAGAGGTGGGTGATTAAGGGAAGAGATATGTTTAATTACAATTAATTATTTGGGAAATATAAATTATTCTATTGATTGATTGATTTCCTGAATGTAAATGCTGAGGAAACATATCTTGGATAAAAAAATAACTTCTGAATCTAGAAACTGGCTATAAATTCCATGTTAATGGGAGCAAATAATAGTGTGGATTAGTCTCTTGGACCCTAGTCTGCACTTAAGTTGTTTATCCATGCTGCAGAGTTCTAAACGGCCTTTGCCTATGATACTGGTTGAATATATAGGAAATATTTGTCTAAAAATATAAGTAGGAAAGAAAAACTTGATAAACATTCTTTCCATATCTAATTTTCTCATTCCAAGATCTAATGTATTAATAAACACGATGATTATAAATTCAGGAACTGAACCATTTGGTAGCACTTTAGTAGCTCACCAACAATGAAAATTTTAAACTAGCTATATATCTTATTTAATTGACTTATATAACTAGCACACATTAACCAGAATCTCATGGGATACTTTGTCAAATGATTTGCTGAAAGGAAGATTTATTATCTCTAGAGCTCTCCCAAAATTTAGTTAGAAAATTACCTCATTTAAAATACAAGGAAAGATTAATCTGGCAAGATTGTTGAGGACAAATTCATACTATTGGTAATTATTGTGTTGTATTCAGGGTGCCTACAGTTTGCTCTTTTTATGAATTTCTTGGGAATCTTAATGATTTTAATAATATGCAACTCATTTGTCCTTAGAGTATTAAACTATTTACAGAAAATAGATACTCCGTGACTGTGTTTCTGGCAGTCTCTAACTTCATTTTTGCTTCTTCTGCTTTTCACGGTGCCTAATGAAGTCTATTGTTTTATTGGAGAAGATTGAGACAAATAAAGAGTTTAATTACTTTTTTTCCCACCTGTTAGCATTTCACCATCTTTATTGAGCAGGTGGTCCTCACACCTTTTCCATAATTCTCACTTAACAACAGTAATTGGAACCAGAATTTTGGTTACTAAACAATGTGATGTAATATCATGTGACCACATTGCTTAGCGACGTGGCTAGTAAGTTCTAGCTGCTATTGTTAAGTGAATCCCATGCTGCTTGTCACTAAACACAATGTTATCTGGTCCCCATTTGCAACCTCCTACCAAATATTCCATTGTCTATGCTTGTTAAAAGCTGGCAGTAAAGGTCACATATATTGATCACATGATGGTGGGACACTGCAACATTGTAGACATGAATCAGTCAGTGAGTGTCTGGATTGTGATTGCATGATTGCATTTGATGCTGCAACTGTCATAAATGCAAGGACCATTTGTAAGTATCACTTGTTCAGTGCCATGCATTGTATAGCATCATCACATTCGGTCATTCCAACTTTTTAGTAAGTGTGGATGCTTTTAAGAGGTGTAATTTCTCCTTTAGAACAAGTTGTGTTCTTTAGTATGTTCTAGTTTTAAATTTAAGTTTTTAAATTTGCCGGAATCCTGACATATATTATATATAACTTTATATATAAAGTTACTCAATTAATGTCTAACATTAATAAAAGATTGATCATATCAGACAAAAGTACATGGAGATTTTATATACGGTAAATCTTTAAGCTTAGTGCTAAAAATTCACTTTTATTGTTATTTGTAAATGCTAAAAAAAAGAAGAAAATAGAGGGAAAAATAGTATTTGGTTTCTGACTTCACCTTTTATACTCCAACTAATTTATAGTATTTATGGTTTCTAAAATGCATATTTTAGACACATATATTATATATTTATAGAGTGTTCTAAATGTTTGTATTTCCCTTGATGCATGATATATATTACCGTGATTTCCTAAAATATGACCTACTCCAAAAATAAGCCCTAGTCTGGGGTTTTGGGGATGGGCCTAATATAAGCCCTACCCCAAAAATAAACCCTAGTGAGGGAGTGGACATGGCTAGCACAGGAGGCAGTCCTTCCCTACCCTGGTGACCTCATGGAGACTGCCCCTTAATTGCAGTCCATGGATCAGCTGAGCCAATGAGACTCACTCTTGCCAGCCCCAGCCCTGCCCATGGTGCCAAGCAACCTCGTAGCCGAGGATCCCTCTCCCGCAGCTCACCTTGTAGCTCTGGAGCAGGCGGTTTGCGCTCCACCAGACCTGGAGCTCAGGTCTTGATTGGGCTGATGCTTCAATGAGGCAGAAAGCTGTGCAGCACATTGGAATCAGCTCCCCCCTGCCTCTGTCCAGCTGCTGGACCTGCTGCTGCTGGTCTTGTGGGGTCTCATCGCTTTCCTGACTGCGCTGCTCCTGCATGGTGTGGGGCAACTTGGCCCAGATCTCCAGAGCACCTTTCCCGTTGCTGGCCTGCTATGGTCCCCTTTGCCAGCAGTCGCGCTGCCCTGTGCGAGCTCTGTGGCGGCCCTGCAGCAGGACGGAGGAGGGAGGGACACATTGCCCCTTCCTCCTTTGCATTTCAAAAGCCCATATTCCCTGGCTGCCGAGCCCCCAGCCTGTACCCCTCTCACTTGAGCAAGACGCGCAACTCAATGCAACCTGTGGAGGCCTCCCTGTTCAACCTTCTGCCACAGCTTCAGAGCAAACCTCCAACTAACCTGCGCAGGATTGCAAGACTGAAGGCTTCGAATGGAGCATTTTTGAGATGGATGTCTGTGCAGGGCTCCCAAGGAAAGGATGATCAGCAGGGAAATCCCTCCCCCCCCCCATTTTCTTGCCAATCGTCCTTTCCTTGAGGAGTCCTGCACAGACACACACCCCAAAAATGGTTTATCCGAAGCCTCTAGTCTTGCAATCCTGCACAGGGAAGGTACAGGCTTGCTCCAAAGCTGCGGCAGAGCATTGCACTGGGAGACCTCAGAAGGTAACATTTCCGAAATGTTAACTTTTAATGCCTCTCTCCACGTGTCTTAACACAAGAAAAGGACGATCGGCAGGAAAAGGGCAGGGGCTATAGGGAGTTCTGGGAGTTGAAATCCACAAGTCTTAAAAAACGGCTAAGTGGCTGCCCATGCTGCTGCTGGCCTTGGCGTGGGCTCTTCACCCTCTTGGCAGTGCTACTCTAGGCCGCTGTGCTGGGGTGCTGCTGCCTGGCATAGTGAAGGCTGGGGTGTGCCGACAGCTGAGCCCGTCGCAGCGGACAAGCAGATAGTGGGTCAGAGAGGGTGGGGCTAGCAGTAGCTGTGCTCCCATTCCTGTCAGCCCCCACTGCTTTCTACACGTAAAACAAAAAAAACCACCCCAAAAATAAGGCCAAGTGCTTATTTTTAAGCCAAAAAGAAAATAAGACTGGGTCTTATTTTCGGAGAAACCGGTATATAGGGAAGCCAATCCTATTTAAATTTAGTTAAACTACTGTAATGTATATATTGTATTAATTTTGCCATTTCTGCATATTCCCTGAGTTTAAATTTACTGTATTTTTATTTATATGTTCTGGGCTAATACCTAGCAAAAAGAATTGTGGTTTCATTTCAAATTTAATTTCTGAAATTGTGTAAGAATTTTTGGAAACATTGGGGTTTTTTGTGTTTTTTTATTTTTTTGCTTAAGTAAATGTCAAATACTTAAAGGCTCTGGAGGATACAGGTAATCCTCCATTAATGACTGCAATGTTTAATAACCCTTTGAAGCTGCAACCATTGCAGCCCTCCCAAGGTAATGTGATTGCATTTGTGATCATTTGCTTCTGACAAAGCAAAGCAAATGGAGAATCTGGCAGTAAAATTGAAAGTTGCAGTAGTAGCTCAATGAATATGGATAATTCCTTTAATGGCTGCAGTGGAACTGCTATAAGTTCGATGTGATTGCGTGATATTTCACTTAATGACCATATCACTTAGCAATGAAGTTGCCAGTGTCAATTATGGTCTTTAAGTGAGACTTATCTGTACTTAAATCTAGTTTAGCTATTGAGATAACTCAATTAGCCAAATATTAATTTTGAATTTGTGTAGACAATAAACCTTTCAATTATCTTCATACAGTGTTTGCAGGCACTGGAATTCCTACATGCCAACCAGGTGATTCACAGAGATATTAAAAGTGACAATGTGCTTTTGGGAATGGATGGTTCAGTTAAGCTGAGTAAGTACATGATAGCTCCAGCATTCACATTATAAAAGTAATATTAAACTGCATATCACCATTAAGTTTTCATTTTTAAGCCAGTAGGTGGCAACCTTGATTAGATAAACAATGAAATGATTCAGTCAGCCAGTCCTGTGGATGTTTCCTTCCCTTCCTATTTTAAAATGTCATCCAATGCTTCAAAAACAAGGAAGTACAAAGCTGAACAGGATTTGTGTTCAGTACAGTCATTTTAACAAATGCATTGCAATATTAATAAGCAAAAGCAGCATTTAAAACCTATCAGTCTTTTTTTTTTTATAAAATAAGAAAATATATAATTTTGACTCAGAAAATTTAAATTGAAGAGATAAGTTTAGACTATATATGTTGTCATGGTTATGGATGGTCAATGATAAGAATTCTGAACATTTTTAGTATTTTATATTGATGCATCTGAAACAAAACTTGTAGTCCAAACAATTATAGTGTTGTGGGAAAGATAAACTGCAGGTACATATTGCAGTTATAAAACTTGGAATTTGTACTATCCCTTCTGTTTGCATGTATATTTAAGAAATGTTAATGTACTAAAGTTGGTTATATGATTGAAACATGCAGTTTTTCTATGCTTTCTATGCTGCCTTTTTTTTAAAGGAATTCTTCAGGGACCATACCATTCCATTGAATTCATCAAAATTTGTTTTTAATTCTATATTACAGCTGATGTATAGATTAAGTCATGATTAAAACAGACATACCCCCAAACATGAATGAAGAAAAAATAACATATTTCTGTTGGAATATGTATTGCTTATTAACATCATCACCACTTTTATACTTTCTAACCCTTTCGTGATGTTCCTTCTCAATTGCATAAGGCTCTGTCCTTTTCAATTTGCACCTGAAACATAATATTAAAAGGTTCTTTTTTCCTAAGAATAAATCAATAGCTTGATCAAATCTGCTTGACAAGAATAATGTACTTTTTTGGAAATTTCTTTCAAAATTTGCCTATTTCCTGTCTAAATGAAATCATCATATTATTTTAATATTAGTATTTATTTTTTAAATGTGAGTGCTTCAATGTGATGTGCAAAACATTAGGAACATTCTTAATTTCAAATTAATGTTGGGTCAAGCATAATATTATAGTAAGTCTGTTGTTCCATCCTAGAGTTTTCAGGGGTCTTCACTCTCAAAATCCAGTGTTCGAAGAAGCAATGCAGGTAGTCCTCTATTTACAACAATTCATTTAGCAGTCATTCAAAGTTATAGTACCATTGAAGAAGATGACTTATGACTGGTTTTTGCACTCAGGATCATTGCAGCATCCCCACAGTCACATAATAGAAATTTTGGGACTTGACAATCAGCATGTATTTATGATGATCGCAGCATCCCAGGATTACATAATCACCATTTTGTGACCTTCCCAGCTGGCTTCCAACAAGCAAAGTCAATGGGGACACTGGATTCACATGACCATGTGATTCATTTTATAACTAATGATTTGCTTAACAACCATGGCAAAAATTGTAAAACTGGGTGTGATTCACTTAAAACCCCCCATGGTTAACAATAGGAATTCTGATCCCAGTTGTGGTTACAAGTGCAGGACTACCTGACTGAGCATAAAATAGCTCTTTGTTCAGGATAATTGGGATGATAAAGATGTCAAAAATGACTTCAGAGATATATTTAAGTCATGTTTGCTCCCCCCTCCCTTTTTTTTTCTTTTTCCTCTGCAGCTGACTTTGGGTTTTGTGCTCAGATAACTCCAGAGCAAAGCAAACGTAGTACAATGGTTGGAACACCATATTGGATGGCTCCTGAAGTGGTCACACGGAAGGCTTACGGTCCTAAGGTGGATATCTGGTCTTTAGGTATTATGGCTATTGAAATGGTTGAAGGTGAACCTCCATATCTCAATGAAAACCCTTTGAGGGTAAGTACTATAACAAAACTTATCTCACAATGCAGCAAAAAAATAAAAAACAAAACAAAACTGTATGATCCCTTACCAGGGGAAAGTTTGCATATAGTTTGCTAGTAGTAAAGCTTAGGGACATTTAGTATTATAATCTAACATAAACTAAATAGATTTTAGCCATTCTCTGAAAATGTATTCTGATTTTTATAGCACATCTCAGTCAAATTACATGAACTTTGATAAAATATTTTTTTAAAAACTGAAAAAGTTGCAGAATAGAGATGTAGAACTGTTATTATTCTCACTATCCTTTAAGAATGTTTTCTTGAATGAATGGGATGGGTTGGACAGAGGCAGAAAATTAAATGGGATCACCCATTTTATTTCTTGTTTTCTGTTTCCTGATTAAGTTGGTCATGGAGATGAGTTGGCGATTTTTAGAGAAAGTTAAGTTAAGCTGAGGCATAGAGCTTGCTTGTTATTGTGTCATACTGTCATAGATTACTAATGAGGACAGAGCTACTAGCTTACAACCCTGCCTCCCTATAACACACAAAGTGGTTTCTGCAGGTAACTCCCAAATAATATCACAACATATCACAGGCTCAGACTAATCTATTTAAAAGAATCAAGGGGAGTGGATGTGTAAAAGAATGTAATGAGTGAATGAAAGAGTTGTAGTATTCCAAGGTACTGGGTGACCTCCAAAATCCAAAATAGGGCTAGGGTCAGCTTTTAAGAAAACCAGGATTTTCTGAAATATATTAAACATGGGAAATACACGATAGAACAGGGGTATTCAACCTTGGCCACTTTAAGACTTGTGGACTTCAACTCCCAGAATTCCCCAGGCAGCATAGTATAGCTGGCTAGAGAATTCTGGGAGTTGAAGTCCACAAATCTTAATGTGGCCAAGATTGGAGACCGCTGCCATAGGAGACTACGAGACTACCAAGACTGAATAATTTTCATGTCTCTTCAAATTGTATGTGACAAAAAAAATCTTTTATCAGCTTTTGATTTATTAATGCTCAAGGTTTTTTTCTTTACAGGCATTATATTTAATAGCAACTAATGGCACCCCAGAGCTGCAGAGCCCAGAGAAGCTGACACCAATATTCCGTGACTTTTTAAATAGTTGTTTGGAAATGGATGTAGAGAAAAGAGGATCAGCCAAAGAACTACTACAGGTAAAGGAACTAAAGTGTTATAAGTTAAGAAGAATGTTAAATATAAACAAAATACATTTCAATAAGGGGAATTTCCCAACCTGATTTCTTGGGAACAAGTACTGCTTTTCTTAAAATTCTTGGATATCTAGATAGAATCTTTCTATTCCTTTTGTATGCATCAAGATAGTAAATGCCATATAGTAAACCAGTGGCAAACAGATAATTGCAGAATCCCCACCCTTCTGGCTTAAGTACTATAAGATTGTGTGATTGTATCCAGATATTCTATACCTCCACTTGTTCGTTTTCCACTTCAGCTTCAACTAAAATTAAAAGCCTGTCTTTAACATATAGATGCAGGGTTCACATTGCTAATGCATGAAAATTGTCATGAAGGGGAGAAAGGAAGACAATTACATGATTTTCCTAGATGCTTGTAAAGATACAGCTAAGAATAGTCACTATTGTATATAGAAGGATGACAACTGCACTTACGTCAGTGGAATTCCTTAGGATAGAATTATCTCTATTCATAGCATAGTAAGGTAGTTAAAATTATAATTATTTAAATATTCTGGTAAAGAAATGGTGGAAGAACATTTTCCTTCATTGTAATATCCATCTATGGAGTTACTTCTGTGACTTAATGTCTTGAGTACTGAAACTTCCCCAAGGTTGCATGCTTCTCCTTTCTTTTAATATATTCTTATCATTACCATGTTTGTGTATAATTTCATTTTTGGATTGTTTTCAAAGTGTTTCTTTTGAAAAGGTATTTTGAAATATCTATCCATTAAAACTTCCTGTTTCTTTTTCCATTAGCATCCTTTCTTGAAACTGGCAAAACCTTTGTCAAGTTTGACACCATTGATTCTAGCGGCCAAAGAAGCCATGAAGAGTAATCGCTAGCATTGCTGTTGTGACCTTCATCATTCCTGGTTTTGTTTGTTTGTCTGCTTTGTTTTTTGTTTAAATCTTCCTATAATATACAAGTTGTTGCTCTTGTTAGAGATGTTGAAAGTCTGCAGAAGGGAAAAAAATTCACCTCAGCTCTAAGATACAAGAGAAGAAAAATGGTGATAATAGTGAACTTTTTTGCAAGTCTTGAAGAAGTTATAAACTGAATCACTGGCCTTTTTACCACTTCTATAGACAACTCAATATTTTGCTGTGCCAATGAGTTGTTTTTCAGTGACTTTGCTGTACCAGTTCCCATCTGTGCTCTGATTTGAACATTTGCAATACTTGAATAATTGATTCAAGCTTTTAGAGGGAGGTATTACTGTAATGTGCTGACCTTTTTTCACCTTAGGTTTCCTTTGCTAGGCAGTAATTCAAAGCATGGGAACGTTTGAGTTACTTAAGACAGATAGAAATGTGAAAGTTCCTCTTTCTCCTTTTAATATGCAGTTAGGTATATGCCTTCTTATGTTAACCATCCAGATACCTGGGGATTGTAACTATTCAGTAACAGTTCTGAAACAAAGAACAGAAGACAGAGTGGAAAGAAAGCAGCTCAGCACAACTGGATGTAGAAATTTGTGCATGGACTTTGTAAAATAAGGGAAAGATGCCTCTCATTGTTGGAAGGCAAATGCCTGCTGGGTAATGGGAAAAGTATTTTCTTTTCAGTAATGAAACCATCCTTTGAGGTTGGGGAGAAAACCCCACTCCTGTGAATTGTCTTCCATTTGTTCCTTGCCTATATAGGCTGATTGGTAACTTTTTTAAAGGGATGTTGGTGCCTTCTGATTTTTAAAATTACCTTTCTTTGTATTAAATACATTTTGTATATGTTGTACATTTTCTCTTCAAAGCAAATTTGAAATTGTCAGGACTAAGTATTAGAGGTTTCTTTCTTTCTTTCTCTCTCTCTCTATCTATATATATATTTATATTCATACTATTTCTACTAATAAAAGACCCAGAAGATTTGCAAAAGATCCAAGACTTTTATACGATTCAGCTGACTAAAGCCTCAGAACACCGGAAGTGCTATTTTAGATAAAAATGGGAGAGGGAATAATTTAGGTTCAAAATTATTGGAATTGTCTTGTGAGTGACTAAGAAACTTTGTCTTGGTTATTCTTCCTCTTGAAAAACTTTACTATTAAGGAGAAAATCAGATAAAGTGCCTCTCATGATAAAAGAAACTGATTAGATTTATAAAATTAAGCCAACATCTGGTTAAATGGGGCAAGATTTGGAATCTCACATTGCTCAAATTTAAAATCACTGTATTTTTGTGACCTTGATAGAACATTTCTGAATGATAATGTGCCAAATACTAATATAAGACATTGTTTAATTTGGTGCTCTAGCTTTCTTGCATTCCTAGATAATATTTTGGGGAGAGCTTCTAAAAGCCCTAATTAAAAAGCTGCCTCTTGTAACTTTTCTCATGGTCAGTGCTAAGCCCTTTTTCTATTTGTGAATAATTTTCATATCAGAAGATCATGATGAAGGTATTGTAAAATGGCTGCTGGCCATGTTGTAGGTTTTAATCCACAGTAGTACAAAGGGCTCTAATTCCTATTCACCTTGGAACTTTTTTGCTTTTTGATTGATACCAGCAATGCCTTATTAATGCAATTAAAACAATATGACACTTGTACATCCATATCTTGTCAGAAGTATTACTCGGAAAATTGTGTAACAAATCAGTCTATTTATTTTCAGAATATTTTGAACATGCTTTGGTTTGGTCCAAGAAGGTGTGATATCCTAGTCTGAGATGTATTTTAAATCCAGTTCTTTCTTTTAAAAATGGCTTTCAATGTTAATATGGAAGTTAAAATAATTTGATCTTATATTGATAAATTTTTAAGACATTAAAACTTCCAGTTAATTTAATTTTTTATTGGGTGTTTGTCTGTTGCTGGCAATGGAATATGTAGAAATGAAGGCTTCTGTGGATATGTATGTTTTAGTGTTTTTTATAATAATATGAAAATGTAGTTCTTTTCTGAATACTTAAAATTCTTAACATTTATTGTCACCTTAATAACATGGATTTTAGTAAATAATGAACTGAATTTTAACAATGTTTTTCAAATCACTCAAAGTTTCTTACAATTAACACAGGAATTGAAGTACGTTGTACACATTACTTTGCCTCAAGGTATTCAAGTACTCCAAATTGTGTCTATTTGATATTCCTAAAATGTAATATACAGCTTATATAATCATCTAATTTTTGTGCCCATTGTTCCATTAAAAAGGATAGAAATGAATTGATGGGAACATTCCATTAGATAAATAAAGCAACAATGTTTGGTTTGTAATTTGTATACTTTGGATTGAACATTTGTAACTTGTTTCAGACGCAGAAGTAGAAAATTTACATTAATCAGATTTTCAGAAATAAAGAATAAATATTGGCTGCTTCATTCAGTCATGAGGTACATATTTCTGAAACATAATTATTTTTGGTCAACTTAAAACATTGAACCAGATTAAAATTTAAAACTGTCCATCTTTAAAGCACACAATACCTGCAATTTTCTAAATCAAAATTCTGTTTTGTGGAGGTTGCTGAAGAGAGGATATTTTGGATAGCTAATGTATTATTAAAACTGGGGTGACAAATGTTCATGAGTGTATGAGTTCATAAACAGAACTCATCACTTTCACCAAGTAACTAAATCAGCTTTTGGATGTTAGGCAAGATTGTCATGTATGTTTGATGGTGTGATACGGTAATGAGAAAGAACATATTTCATTAAAGCAAGCTTATCTGGAATGATGAGCTCTTATTCTCCCTCCCTCCCACTTAGCATAAAGTGAAGCATGTTTGATTTGGGTTGGAGTCATTCATCATTTGAAATTACATCCAGTTAAATGGTCATCATATGCACACTCTGGAACAGTTGGAGTCAATTAACTTTTCTATTAAGTGTTGAAGAATTTGTTTTTGTAGCTGGAATTAATGATTTCTTTATTTGTTCCTTTCTTTGTCAGATGGAGATGAAAATAATGCAAGCTTTTAATTTTTTAAATTGCCCTCAAGTTTTGTATAATTTAATCCCATTTTGTTATTTAATGTTACCACAATATTAACTACTGTATTGCCTGTGTTTAATGATTCTTTCAGGGCTAGAAATAAACATTTTTAAAATGATTGCCAGATCTCTTTCTTCTCACCCAACACCTAGATTAAATAATAGATCAATCAGAAAACATTTGTATTTACTTGTGTATTTCTTTGGTGATTCATTGGAGCATACTTGCAATGTAATTATCATTTATCTTCAAAGCTTCCATGGCAATGTACCAGCTGAAGCATCTTGGTGCTAATGATTAGAGCTTTTTTTCTGGACCATTCTTTGTCTGCTTAATTCCTCTAGAAAATCAGCTATAAACATGTTAGAAGAGTGAAAAATACGACTGAATCTGTTGATCACAAACTTCAACTAATAACTGACAACACTAATTGAATGTTAATTCAGTATTTTCCTATACCAATGAACTATCACTGCCTATTTAATATTTTAGATGATTCTGGAACTGATTATACATTGCTATTACCTTTGAAAGAAGTGCTAGTGGGACACCTCACATTTACTACACTTAATTTTTTTGGTAATGAAAGCAATACTGTTACAAAACCGGTCGAGGTCAATATTAATGTCATTAATTTTATGCTAATAACTACACTTTAAGAAGCTTAGAAACTTTAGACTGGGAGGCATTTAAAACAAAAAATATAGATGACATAAAACAAAATGATAGTGGATAGGGATCCTGACTGGCTACCATTACCAGTGCCAAATATAATTTTTAATCTGTATTACATGAAATTGACAGTACCTCTAAAACTGATCATTGACTTAAGGCTGTAGAATTACAGGTAGTCCTCAATTTACAATAGTGACTGTTCAAAGTTACAATGACACAAAAAAATGAGATGACAATTTTTACACATTCATAGCAGCATCTCCACGGTCACATGATCAAGTTCAGACACTGCAATTGATTCATTTATGAGGGTTGCAATCTCTCGGGGTCACAATCACCTTTTGCAACCTTCTGATAAGCAAAGTCAATGGGGAAGCCAGATTCACTTAATCGTATTACTAACTTAAAGTGCTGTGATTCACTTAACAACTGTGGTAAAAATGTAAAATGGGGCAAAACTCACCTAACTCTCTCACTTAGCAAGATAAATTTTGGGCTCAATTGTGGTTGTAAGTTGAGGCCTACCTGTATTTATGACCCAGTATTAACTTGTTTCTCAGTCTGAACGTAGTCATCATCAATAGTTACACAAAGAAATGGAAAACAAAATACATGTCATGGTTTCTCTGATAAAATGGCTGAAGCCAGGAGAACACTGAGATTGTGTTATACTTGATACTCTTTGTCATGGTGGTGGTTGGTCCTGAAGATCTCTATGGAAGGAGAAGGTGCTTAGTTCAGCTAGTAAAGACAGCACTAACTAGACAGGCAGTTCTTTGCCTCTGATCTGTATGAAAATGTGGTTTTGTCTATCAGATTATGGGATTGCACTCTGCAGCTAAGCAACTACATTGAGTAGTTTCAGTAAATTCAAAAACATTAAGCCATAAATTGGAAAGACCATATTAGCAGGACAAGACTCTGGTCTTGGGTTATCTTTTCCAAAATAGTGTTTTATTCAGAAATTCTGTGAACTACTTCAAAGTGAGTGTGGCCATCCCTATAACCCACAATATGTAATTTATATGAAGAATGATGTTAAGGATATTTTAAGTTCTGAAACAAGTTGAGGAAATATTGTAGTAGAGAAGTCAACACAGTGACAAGAAAGATCTGTAAGCTACCTAGTGTCATCTTGGCGAGATGGTGAACTCTAACAATAAATAAAATCAATCTGGAATTTCCCTTCCATAGCAATGAAGCTTTAAACTAGCATCCATTGATAGCAATGGAGATGATTTTAAAGCCTTATAGGAAAAGTGAAGAAAAGGGCTGATTTTGAAAAATTGGTGAAGCATAGTGTGGATAACTAAGTTTTTAGCCTTAAAGAGTTCAAATGATAAGATTATAACTTTCACATTTTGGATGTATGGAAAGATAAAGATCACTCTAATAAAAACATGCTTGATAAAGTTGAAGGAAAATGCAGAAGGAAAAACTTGTAATGTTATGATTGGAACAATAAAAACCGTGGGTATCACTCTGATAATGTGATAACTGAAGATTGAACACTTTTCAAGACAACTGTCTAGACTCAGGGCTGCCATGAAGCAACATTGACTTGAAGGCAATTGACAACAACAGTAGGAAAAGCCATTATTGAGATAGAGTAAGCTTTTGAATTCAAGAATCTCGACTGCTTTGCCCTGGGAGTTACCTGCTGGTTTCACTGGTTTCTGAACCAATTCCAAGCTGCAGCTTATTAATGCTTTTTCTTAGAGGGAAGGGCTTAGTGGAGTTTCTAGGGATGGAAAAAGGCTTATGTGAAGTTTACTGGAAAAGAAGACCAAAGGTGAAATTCTGGTTAGAGTGGTTGCAATGTGATAAGGGAGCAGCATTCTTCTATCTGAGCCAGTTTCTTCAGGGTGCTAAATACGTTCATTTTCCCAGTCATTTCTGTGATCCTATTAACCTGGTACCTATCAAACTATGCCACGTTTGCTTAAATATGCTTTTAAGGGAAGACTAACAGTTTCTCCTCCCCTCTCTTTCATGCACTGAAGATTATTTTTTTGAGTTAGAACTAATACCTCTCCAGTGTATTTCTCAGAATGTCTGGACTGAATGTCTCAATCATTTTTTTCTTCTCAGTTGTAACTCTTTGTGAATTTGCTAGGCGATTCTTCAAGAGAATTTTTCCATCTAAGGTGTATTTTTGTCTTGCTGGTGAATTGGCCAGTTCCTTCCAGATATGTGCTTGCTACCTTGAATTGAAGATGCTAAGGGAGATTGGCCCATGGGGTGGTGGCTTTGGCCCAGATGTGAGCCTGACTCTCTTATTTGTAATCTTCTTAGCGCATGGTGCCTTTTTTGATGGAACTGCTGCCAACCCTGTAATTTCACTTCAGGAATTTCTAGCTTTGGATTGTTCTTTTGTAGGCAGTATTGTTAAAATTTTGGCTCAGTTTCTAGGGATGGAAGCAGCTTGTGCTTTTACCAAGAAGTACTGGTCCAAGGAATTTACTCACTTCCATATGATCCAGAACTTAATGGCCCAGGATTGCAGCTCATCTCTCAATACCTCTATCTCCCAGGGCATTTTTGTAGAAGCCATGGGTTCCTTTCTTTTCCAGTTAATTATTCTCAAGCTTCACACCTGCTCTCCCATGTACAGAGTTCCTATTGTGGCGCTCAGTATCACTGCCTTGACCTATACAGGTAAGGATTGCTATCCAATCTTGCCTTCATGTACATTGAGAAACTAAAACAACTGTTTAATACTTGCAGTGTTTCTACATACCTATGGCATTCAATTAAATATGTTTCAGTGCTTACATTCTATGTACATCAACATGATTATTATAACTTGCCTTTCCTACTTTAGAAGTGATGAAAAATGGAAACAAATCTTGAAGCATTCACTAGAAATGATAATTATTTTTTTACTATAATGACCTTCTTAGTGAAAATTGTGTATTCTTCCAAATTATCCTCTTAAGGTTTCATATTGATGCAGTATTGCTGCTTTTGACCCTCTGTCCTTATGGCAAAACAAAACACAGAATCTAGAAGAATGAAGTGTTCCAGTTCAGTTAAAAACAGACAGTAAGAGCCTGATAGGAACAAAGCATTAAATAATCACTTTTTTGTTCAATTTATCAATTTACATTGTATTTGACATTGTTATCAAGGAGCAGTAAAAATTGAATCATCTCCTGGCTACCAAAAGCTGCCAGCTGTGATGATTCTACTTTCAGGTATAAACTTTTTGTCATCTACTTTTTTATTTACACTGCTGTTGTCCACATCTGCCTGAATGTTCTGCATTTCTTCAATTATGTATTAAATTTCTTTGATTAAATTTTCAGTTCAGACCTCTCATCCCTCTATTATAACTATCAATCTCTTCTTGGATCCTTGATTTCCAGAGATAGCTTGTCATGCCATTTTAGACTCTCTTGTTTAGTTGTTTTCAGTCCAACTTTCCCCAAACTGATGCCCTCCAGTGATGATGGTTACTGCATTTCCTGAAGTAAATTCTGGAAACTGAAGCTCTAGCACTTCTGTAATGTGGCAGGTTGACAAGGATAATCTAAATATTCATGGTGCTAAAGTTATCTTGCCTTTATTGCAACTTGAATACATAATAATGATCAGCAACTGCAAGGTATAGGATGAATCAGCAATGTGGAAGTAAACATCTATTTTCAAAAGCAGAGCTGTGATTTCATAGGCTAGAACCCTAGAGTATGATAGGATATATGTTTATCTAGGGTCAAACACCTTCATACATACAATCTGCAGTAGGGGATAGCATAGACACAGTATACCGACACAATGTACTCTATATACTGAGATAAAAGACGTTTAAACAATAGTATAATCTTAAATTCTTGATTGTGAGGTTAGGTGTCTGGTGTAGGGACCTAGAGTGGCATGGGCAGGTGTGTTTCCAATCTCTATCCATGGATGATGGAATCTTTTAAGGACATATAGCAGGATTTGGGAATACACTTCTGAATAGAAATGATCATCTAGGAGGCAAAGCTAAATCACCCTTCGAGATGAACCTCACTCTACAACCACCTAGCAAAGGTGCTATATGCTAGCTGGAATAATCTGGGAAATGTCTGTAACTCTTAAATTAAAAGTGGGAGATTTTGTTTCTATTTGCACTCCTCTTGAATGTTACTGTGTTGTGTTTTTTTTCCTTGGGTATGGCTACTTTTCATTAATATTCTACTTTGAAGTTAAAGTTATTTATTTTGGTATTCTTTGCTTAATAAATTCTTTAAACTTTTAGCTCACTGGCATGCTGATTGCTTTTTAATTTATTAATCTGCCAACAGTTTAGTGTGGCCAAACAAATGGGGGAGGAGTATTGTTGACTGGATCTTACAGTGACTAAGATGACAAATCATTGAATCTAACAATCAGTTATAAAATATTGGTATAATAATCAGCAGCTAAAAAGGGTCTACCTAGACAGAGTAAACAGATTTTTCTGTAGACGTATATTTTCACAAAATGCCTCGTTTCATTTCAAACTTCTCTTGAAGTCAATCAAAGTCTTAATATGAGCAAATATGTTGCAAAATTTTATATCCCTTGCCTGATGATCATGAAGTTGAAAAATTGTATTGCAAAGTGAACGTGGTCAGGGAGCTCTCAAAGATGATTAAGAAGCCGACATGCAGAGCTGCATGCAAATGTCTGTAGAAATGTGGCCCAATTCCAGCATCAATTAAATGTTGGAAACATATAGGAGAACATGCACAAGGCTCTTAAACCTATATCTTAAGCCAAGTGTTAAGAAATGAGCAGGTTGAGCCCAAAGGTGGGATCAAACACACCATCAGTTTGGAGCTGCTGCACTCCTACCAGAGACCCAAGTCTACTCCACACAGTCAGAGACACACACAGAGTGAATTCCTATGACCTTATCTACTGCCAATTTGGTCTGACTATTAGTAGATCAGATTCTTGTGTATAGGTAGCATGTAATAAACATGTAGTACTCCTATTCCCGGATTCTTGCACCTGACACCAAGTGGGCTCATGACTCCTATAATTTTTGTATTGCATCTGGGAAATAATTGTTGCTGTAAATTTTTGCGTGATGTGCAGTATGGTATTTGTATGACTCTGAGCAATGTGGAAGTGAGTCTTAATTGTTTAATATATAGGACATCACAGAATTAAGAAAACAAGACAGGTGAGATATTTTTTAGATGAATATTTTATTTCACATAACATTTAAATGATATTTGTTTTTAAGGTTGGTTGCTTTTCTAAATATAGATTAAAAGGTTGTTCTCCAGCTACCTGAACATATTTTATTCATTTTTAAAATCCAATTTGAAAGTATGCAATCATAAGTATTTGCTTCTAATTACTTTCCTGGTAGATATGCGAAATAAGATGGCATTTGTGCTAAACAACTGAGTATTGGGATGTTGCTCTTTGAGGGGGATGTATGTGAGTATCCATTGTATTGTTGAATTCTTGCCAGGTGGTGGTAAAATGGGAATCCCAAATAAGAGCAGATGTGTTAAAATCACACACACATAGATCAGTGCTTCTCAATCTCAGCAATTTTAAGATGTATGGACTTCAATTGCTGGAATGTTTACTGGGGAATTCTGGGAGTTGATTCCATAAATTTTAAAGTTGTTGAGGTTGAGAAATGATGCTCTAGATCAGGGGTGTCAGACTTGCAGCCTGTGGGCTAGATGCACTGGCCATGCCTACCCCTGGTTTAGCTAAGGGGGAAAAAGTTGCAATATGTCATGTGGCAATGTGTAATCGCAAGTTTAATACCCCTTCTCTAGATTGACATACTGCTACCAGATGCTGTTCCTTTAAAGAAACACCCGAAAGAAGGAAATATTCAGTAGTTAGGGTAGATTCCTCCTGTCTTTTAACTTTTGTTCCAACTTGAACATGTTGAATCTGATTAATTGGGGCACATGTTCCTGCATATGCCAAACTAAGAATAGATGGATTAAACTGTTTGCTTTTCCTCTGCTGCAGCTGCACCTGTCACAGGTGCTTTTTTTAACCCCGCCTTGGCCTCTGCTATGACCTTTTCCTGCCCAGGAAACAGTTTACTGGAGTATATGCAAGTTTATTGGCTGGCACCTATCTCAGGTGAGACTCTTCCCAAAGACTTTAAGAGTTGCAACAGTTCTTGTAATTGAATATTAAGGGTCATTTGAAGGAACGGTAACATTCAAGCCAAATACAGGTAATCTTCACTTAATTTCACTTGTTCGGTGAATATTCAAACTTACAATAGCTCTGAATGAGTGGGACTTACAACGGAACCACAAAGTTCCGGCTGTTGCAGCATTCTGCACTCAGGTGATCACAATTTGCTACCTTTATTGCCAGCTTCCAACAAGCAAAGTCAATGGAGAAGCTGGTGGTGAAATTGTGCCCCGCCTGCTATACTGCCCAGCCAGGTGATCTTCCTTCCTTCCACTAGCATGAATACCTGGGGCCACATTGCATTTTATCCCCTTCTCATAGTGGTAGAGCTGCACCTTTCCTTTGTATTCTTGCTTCCGTGCATCAAAGCAGTTTGAAGTCAAAGTAGAGCAGAACAAACTACAAGACCCCTGACCTCGCCCTTCTCCTTCCAGCCTTATGTCCTGCACTGGACTTCCTGAAAGCTGAGACAGGCTTTCCAGATCGCCAGGGTGGCTCAATCTGTATCTACATTTTCCAATGTGCCACCTCTGCTGTTTTTAGCTCCATATATGCCTTGGCCAGCAGTCAGCAATTGGTTCCTGCCTTCCTGCGTTCCCCCTCTTCCTCTTGCTGCCCCAATCAAGGCTTACTTGCTACAGCATCACAATAGGATGGCAGGGTCAATGGCAGAGAGAGATGCAATGATAATTGGCTGATTTCCTAAATATTTTGTGAGTGTCCCAGGGATGGGATGGCCGACAGGGTGAGTGGTGAGAGATGTGCTTAACAATTGTCTGAGATTTGCTTAATCCATGTTGGTTCATGAAAACAAATTATTCACCAACCTAGGAAAGCTTATATAGGTTAAGGGGGGGAAAAAAGAATAATTTTAATTAACTAGGAAACAGGAAGTAGTTCCATTTTCCCTTATGGAAATAAATTGGCATATGTTTTAATAACAAAAAATATGGAGATAATTCTGGAATCAAAATAAGATATCATTAAGACAAATTAAAATTATTGCGGTACTGGCAATAGTTGGAAGCCAGTCCTGAATTGATTGAAAATACTGCATTAAACAACTTAAATATATAACTTTAAGTTAAATTGTAACCATACAGAAGCTTAATTCTGTCCTTCTATAGCAGCATATCTTGTGAAAGGTGAAAGTTAAGCTCCAATAGAAATGCATAGTTATGGAACAGCCACAACTATCAACATTAAAAGAAAACTTACTGCAGGGATCCTTGCCAGAATTGGGAACACACACATTTACTCACAGGTTGATCTACTCTTCCCATCTCTCCATTTCTCCATTTCCTGGTCACCATCACATTTTTTTCCATTGAATTAGCAGAAACATGCTAATTAAGTATTAGTATTATTATTCTGCTCACGTAATCCTTTTGAATATTATTGCTTCTTAATTGTTAAAATGCTGTTAAAGGAAGACTTTCAAACATAGAACCAAAGGAAAACATACAGATTTTTTTTTAAAGTGGAAATGGCAGAACAAAAATCCATTTTTCTTATTTGAGTTTTTGTGGGCTTGCTCTTCTTTTGTTCCAGTGTGAGAAAAATACTTGAAGCAACCATGCAGACTTTTTTTTTTAAACTAGCTTTTTCTTTTCAATAAATCCTTTGAGGTTTCAGCAGAATCTGTGCTGGCAATTGTATAAGTTTGCACAAAGAGAAAAAGATGCATTCCCTGATTAGAACCTGCTGAATAGTTTCATATTTTTTCCAAGGCTGGCTTAAGCACATTATTGTCTGTGAAAAAAATACTCTCCTTTCCACTCTGTGTCTAGAAACAAACTGAGCTGGTACCTGACTCTTATTTCAACAATGATACTAGGATAGCATCTTCCATTGTAATGAGCAGCAAACTAGGTTAGGTTATCTTCCGGTTCATCATTCACCATGTCACTGTTCTGTAACCGGTGCCATCTTGATTCCTACTCATTCTTGCCTTAAAAGAGAAAAAGACACTTTTCTGACATAAATCACAGCAAAACAAATAGATAAAAATTTCCTGTTGCTGTTTTTTCCCTGCAGGAATGCTGTTAGCCCTCCTTGTATATCAAGGAAATATTCCACGCTTCTTCCAGACAAACCTGCTTTATAGTCAGAAGAAAAAATACAGAGTATTTAAAGGGAAAGTAATGTCGAACTCTGTTGTTGAAGAGAGACAGACAAAAACAGAGAAGAAGAACAGCAGTTCTGGACTGATTAACTGAATGGAGCACAAAGGGTTAACACTGCTGGATGGGAGGCAAAAGCTACTTTTCTGTGTAAATGGTAAACGAGGCTTTGAAAGGGCAGTTCGCATGATATTATGATGTTCCCAAAACTGGAACCTTCTAGATGTGTCAAATTTCAATTCCCATAATTTCTAGCCAGCATGAAATGTGTACTATGATTTTTAATTGTGGGAGTTCTAGTCCAACATATTAACCAGCAGAAAGCTGATGAAGAGTGTACTGTTAGATGCATGAAATAACAGCCTTTCATCAATTGTTACAAAGGCATGCATTCATTATGGAATAGGACTTTAAAGCTATATGTTCAGGGCATCTTCTGAGGAAAATAGTGGGGATATTCTTCAAACTATGGCATCCTTTGGAACAGATAAATATCTTTATGGTATGGCATAGGTATGGCTTGAAATAAATAGTGAAATCTGAACAAATATATTAATAAATATTTGATGTGAAATTGTACTTGTAATTTCCTATGAAAAAGTAAAATGTTACATGAGATGAAATGTTATATGGGCCTTCTTTTCAGGCTCTTCTTGAAATTTAATTAATACAAGCAGCAATCTAGGTTTCTTTAATGCAGTTATCCCTATCTGATTCTCACAATAATGTGGCTATCATTTCTGATTTCTTGTTATACAAATTTCAGATACAATGCAATTGTGCTATATTCTCCAAGATCCTTTTTTGGTGATGTATGAAAAATCCTTGGTCAAATGTTAAACAATACAGTGATAAAAGATACCTAGAGCTGACAGCTCTTAACTGGTATTTCCTTCAAAGCATCATTTTTTAAAAATAGATCTGTTGGTTTCTGCAATCTCACTATTCCAACTATAGGATTCTTGTTGATTGTAAAGAGATAAATATATATTGGCGTTATCAGCTACAAATAATGAGAAATTCTGTAAAGTACTGAGCCACAGAAAATTAGGTGACAATGCTCAGAATATTGCATTAGAGACTTTTAGGTATGTAGAAAAATACTTACTTTTATTTTATAAATTTGTAAGTTATATGTGGGGATCTCAGTTGTTGCTTGGTGTGACAATCCAAACTTTGCTTGTCTTTCCCCTCCTCCTATCAATACTTAAAAGTGTAATTATAATGAAGAAGGAAATCCTTAGGGATTCAGGAATTGTGCTGGCAACTTAGAGAAGCAGGTTGGGTAGACCTGAAAAGTGAGATCTTTTCTCATCTGGAACTAAAGATTCATGATAATAGAAAAAGAAAAATTAATGCTATGACTGGGTATGTTTTCTAACTGGTCATTTCTCCTCGTTCAGATCAGGTCTACAGTTTTGATGGTGTCATGAATTGGGAATCAGTCCTACCATGTTTAACCTGTCCTACACTTCTATGGTCTGAAGAAATAAGCAGGCTTGCTAAACTTCAAAACTTTATTGAGGAACTACTTCTTATACAGGAAATGATTAAAGTGCAGGAGTCACCATGCACAGGCACATCTTCTTATTGCCTTATCCAGTTCAAGTTCCAACGAAAAATGTTTGCACTGGTATATTGCAGTGGGACTAATGCCTGGTCTCTAATCTTCTTTGGAGATACACTATCACCTTTTTGAAGGCAATTCATTGCCAGCTGTTTCTGCTTCTCTGCAATACCTTCACTTCCTGCTTGATACATTCCTTGCCAATATGTAAATATATTTTTCCCCAAAAAGTCTTGTTGAAACGCATATAGAGTTCCCAGTCTAGCTTATTCCGGCTCTTTCATTTATCTACAGAATCTTTTGAAAGCTGAGATTTGATAATATTATCTCTTTGGTTAAGAGCAGGGCTGTCAAACTCCCGGCCCACGGGCCAGATGCATCACACGCTGCCCACGCCCACGCTCGGTTTAGTGAAGGGGAAAAAAGTCCTGATACGTCACGTGACGACACCGTGATGACGCGAGTTAAGGGGGAATGAGATGACATCATCCAAGACCCAGCACAAGATTTCCTTCAATATCATCATGGACTCAGCAAAATATTCTGAGAGGAGAACTAAATCAAATTCTGTTTCAGTGGTTCTAACTGAATATTAATTGAATATTCTCTATTGAAAAGTTTCCATTGTGATTATAACCAAAATCAAATGCCATTAGATTTTTGACATAATGGCTGTCATTGTCTGTGGCATTATAAAACAGGGATGTCTGATTGATAAATTCTTTAAACTTCTGGCTTTAATGAAGGGGGCCCATTGTAATAAGTAAATGAAGAACAGGATTCTGAAGGATGGTAAAGTACAATGTCCCATCTAGCAAGACTTTGGCAACCTGGAATTGGAAGTAAAGAGAAAAGCATTTTTAGGGAAAACATACTCTCCACATTCCTACCCCCCAAAAATCACAACATCCACTAGTTTCACTATTTCCCTGAAGTTTTAGTCCATGGGTGTCAAACTTGATCACATTACGTGACATATCGTGATGTTTTTTGCTTTTGTGGACCTGGGGTGGGCATGGCCTACATGTAATGCATCCAGCCCAAGTTTGACACCCCTGCTCTAGTCAATACATTTCTCCTGTTTTTAACATATTTTTGCTTTCCCTCTGTTTTCCTTCTCTTCCTTGACTGTGAACTCAGAGCAGGGATTACTTTTTCAACCTTCATATAGTACCATGCATAAAGATAGCTTTATATTCAGTAAGCTCTAATTGAATTCGGATGGGGACCACTTTCATGTCAGTACAGGTAGTCCTCGACTTAATGACCACAATTGAGTTCAACATTTCTGTTGCTTAGTGAAACGTTTATTAAGTGAATTTTGCCCCATTTTACGACTTTTCTGGCCACAGTTGTTAAGTGAATAACTGCAGTGGTTAAGTTATAACCTGGTTCTTAAGTGAATCTGGCTTCCCCATTGAGTTTGCTTGGCAGAATGCTGCAAAAGGGTACCACATGATTGCAGGACATTGCAATCGTCATAAGTATGAGTCAGTTGCCAAGCATATGAATTTTAATCATGTGACCATGGGGATGCTGCAATGGTCATAAGTAGGAAAATGGTAAGTCACTTTTTTCAGTGCCATTGTAACTTCAGTCACTAAGTGAATTGTTGTAAGTCAAGGACTACCTGTAAATGTTTTAAATAAGTAAATAAAAACAGAGGTAAAATATGGCTGTTCCCAATACTTACTGGTGAAACTCGAAAAATTAGAATATCGTGCAAAAGTTCATTTATTTCAGTAATGCAACTTAAAAGGTTAAACTAATATATGAGATAGAGTCATTAACATGCAAAGCAAGATAGTTCAAGCCGTGATGTGTCATAATTGAGATGATTATGGCACATAGCTCATGAAAACCCCAAATCCACAATCTCAGAAAATCAGAATATTGTGAACAGGTTCAATATTCTAGGCTCAAAGTGTCCCACTCTAATCAGCTAATTAAGCCATAACACCTGCAAAGGGTTCCTGAGCCTTTAAATGGTCTCTCAGTCTGGCTCAGTAGGAATCACAATCATGGGAAAGACTGCTGACCTGACAGTTGTGCAGAAAACTATCATTGACACCCTCCATAAGGAGGGAAAGCCTCAAAAGGTAATTGCAAAAGAAGTTGGATGTTCCCAAAGTGCTGTATCAAAGCGCATTAACAGAAAGTTATGTGGAAGGGAAAAGGGTGGAAGAAAAGGGTGCACAAGCAGCTGGGATGACTGCAGCCTGGAGAGGATTGTCAGGAAAAGGCCATTCAAAAGTGTTGGGGACTTTCACAAGGAGTGGACTGAGGCTGGAGTCAGTGCATCAAGAGCCACCACACACAGATGGATCCTGGACATGGGCTTCAAATGTCGTATTCCTCTTGTCAAGCCACTCCTGAACAACAAACGTCAGAAGCGTCTTACCCGGGCTAAAGAAAAACAGACCTGGTCTGTTGCTCAGTGGTCCAAAGTCCTCTTTTCTGATGAGAGCAACTTTTGCATCTCATTTGGAAACCAAGGACCCAGAGTCTGGAGGAAGAATGGAGAGGCACACACTGCAAGATGCTTTAAGTCCAGTGTGAAGTTTCCACAGTCTTGTGTTGATTTGGGGAGCGATGTCATCTGCTGGTGTTGGTCCACTGTGTTTCATTAAGTCCAGGGTCAACGCAGCTGTCTACCAGGAGGTTTTGGAGCACTTCATGCTTCCTTCCACAGACGAGCTTTATGGGGATGCTGACTTCATTTTCCAGCAGGACTTGGCATCTGCCCACACTGCCAAAAGCACCAAAACCTGGTTCAATGACCGCAGGATTACTGTGCTTGATTGGCCAGCAAACTCATCTGACCTGAACCCCATAGAGAATCTATGGGGCATTGCCAAGAGAAAGATGAGAGACGTGAGACCGAACAATGCAGAAGAGCTGAAGGCTGCGATTGAAGCATCCTGGTCTTCCATAACACCTCAGCAGTGCCACAGGCTGATAGCTTCCCTGCCACGCCGCATTGAGGCAGTAATTGCTGCAAAGGGGGCCCAAACCAAGTACTGATGCTTATACTTTTCAGAAGTCCAATATTGTTCTATGTACAATCCTTGTTTTATTAATTGCATGTAATATTCTAATTTTCTGAGATTGTAGATTTGGGGTTTTCATGAGCTGTAAGCCATAATCATCACATTATGACACATCATGGTTGAACTATCTTGCTTTGCCTGTAATGAGTCTATCTCATATATTAGTTTCACCTTTTAAGTTGCATTACTGAAATAAATGAACTTTTGCACGATATTCTAATTTTTCGAGTTTCACCTGTATTGTTTAATTTCAGCTACCCTGGTATATGTTTTGAATGGGAAGTGATGAACAGTATAAACATAAAACAGTGCCAAGCAGAAGAGAACAAAAGGGCCAGCCTGCAGTTTTTAATTTCTATCTGGGTTCCAGGAAGAATCTGTTGATTTGAAGGTTTATCTCAAAAGCCCCTTTTAACACTTAATTATTATATTTGGTGCCAACGGAAACAAGTTTATTGCAGGTTAAGGAGATATGATTGAGAAAGGCGTCAGAGATTCTGATAGACTGAGGTGGTTAGAGATTATGACCTAGTTTGAATGCTCAAAAGACTTGCATTATGTTACCCATTTGATTAAAAAGAATTATAACTGACTGTTCTGAAATGTGATAACAATCCTTTCTGCCTGTTCCACACACCAGTCTTAACCAATTTCTCCCATTGTCACAGATCTAAATCGTACATTAAACATTGTTTCTGCACTGGTAAATGCCTACCATGAGGCCCATAGAAACTGCAGTTAAGGTCAAACAGTACATGACTGTACTGAGATGTCATGCACAACAATATCATTGGGTGCCCGGATGAATTTATTTGTGCAACTGAAATTTATAAATGAATACATATAGATAGAATAGA